AGATAGATAGATAGATAGATAGATAGATAGATAGATAGATAGATAGAGAGAGAGATAGATAGATAGATAGATAGATAGATAGATAGATAGATTACGCAATCTCGACCCATTTCGCTACACCCTTCCCACGCTTCCCCTTCCTATCTCACCCATCTCATCCATTTGACGATCGCCCAGGTTCTGTATTATTCAGAGCCAATTCACGAGCCTTCCCCGTCTGTGCGATCAACACCTGAGGTGGTTCGGTACTTTGCTGCGACCAGGAAGAAGGAAAAGTCAGCCAGTACGAACAGACACACCGGTGAACCGAAGGGGACCCACACGCTTTGATTCCAAAGCTCCAACCGGACGCAGCCAACACATCCACAGGAGAGCCGAAAGTGACGACAGCTGCAATGGCCGAGCTCCAACTCTTTCAATGCACAGGGGAAACATCCAAACATCAACAGTCAATTGCTTTTTGTGCTTCTTTATGCTGTGATCTTTCTTGAGCTCGACCATAAACCAGCTGCTTCGTGCTTTCAAATGGAGAAGAACATCTCCAATCTCATCACCCGTCGATTCCGCCATTCATCCTCGATATACCCATCAACCAACGGCCAGTAACAGACTAGCAGCGAACAAAACCCCGGTGCGAGTTTGACCCCTTGCGAGTTCGACCAGAGGACCAAAACCACCTCGTGCGCCAAAACCACCTCGCATCCAGGCGCCTTCTGCGATGCCACTGGGGCGTTCTCGCGCTCCAACAGCGCGGCCACAGAGCTCTCAATCTCCTTGATGGCGTCAGGTAAACCTCGGACGAGGCGCTCATGCAATCCCAAGCGATCGGTCATCGGTGCGGTGGCCACGGCGCGGAGGGTGAGCCTCTTGGCTCGGAGAGTGAGCAGAAGGTGATACGACTAAACACATCAATCAAAAATCATCCACAACACATCCGGAAGCAGCTCTTCTAGGATTCATGGCGCACCATATGTGAAGCGACTCTTCTAGATTGGAATAGATTGAATCTGCACCAAGCCACGGTCTCGGTGCAAAGTGCCACCCTCGCACAGAAAGGCATTCGCATCCATGACCTGCACCGCAGGCCACGTTGCTCCCTTCCCACCGCTGCAGCTTCAGGACCAAATGGACCCCGCACCACCGGGTGGGTCGGAAATGGTACCACTGGGTCAATTCTCAGGCTCCATGTGGTCCGTCCGCAGATCTGGCAGATCGGACAGAGTCCGATGCATCACACCGTTGGTTCAAAACGCCGCCACGTTGGCCGGCAGAACTTTCAATGGCTTCTTCAGTGTCGATCGTGTTCGGAAGAGTTGATACGACGAAGCCAAAAACACGAGAGGGGCATCGATTCTGATTCTATGGAACCTTTGGCCCAGCTCTCTTCTTCCTTCGACTTGAGAAGCGGCAACCAAGGGCGACCCAATTGAGGGACTGAACTGACAACAGTCGGGGCCTCGGTACCAATCCGCTTGCCATTCATGAAGACCTTATAGGAGGTGCCGCCCCAGTCGACAATGATGTCGGGGTGAAAGTCCTCAGCAAAGTGAGAGACGTCCTGCTAACTCATCCGCTCCCAAGTGTGGAGTGCCTGATCTTGAGTTCTTTGTTGCACCTCCTTGGAAAAAATGCGAAATCTTGATCATGAATCGTTTTACCCAGAAATCCGGCACACCAAAAAGACTCTGAAGATTGGAGGACCCCTTCCAAACAGAGAAGAGTCTGTTCTTATTCATCTGAGCTGCCAGTGCGCCTATCGGCAAGCCACAGCCCTGCGGGTCGCTTTTTGTCACTCTGCAAAAAAAGAGATGTTGCCACTGAAACCGAAGGATTACCACAACTCCGTTGGTTCCATCACAGTCTTGGGGTTGTCATGTTGTTTTCGACCATCGCTTCTTTGCTGCTTCTTAGCGTCCTCTTTGCTGCTGCAAGTCTGGAGCTGTGGGAGCGGAAGGGTGGAGAAGGAATGAATATATAAGGAAAGAACAGTTCTGTTCAGTGGCAGCCTCAGTGTTTTCGTTGTGCTGCTTTTGGTCGTGTCAATTTCAGCCGCTGTGCTTCTTTTCATCATCTTCTGCCTGCTCGTTACTCTACTGTTGTCATGTTTGGAGATGTTTGCTTCCTTCCTCTTCCCCTTCTCTCTGGTTTCTCCTACACACATCGGATTTGGCTATGAGTGCGATTCAGATGTCATGACCTTTCGACTTTTTCAATCGTCTGCTTTTCCGCTGCGGGCCTTGGTCAAAGAGAGGCTAAAGTCGTTGAAGAGCTGTGGGAACTTGTACCGCTTGGTGTTGGGGTCCTAGGCACTTTCATTCGTGTGCCAGACTCGGTGTCGGTCGGTCGCCGATGTCAAGTTCAAGGCAAAGACCTGGCGTGAACTCTCTGGTGACCCATCCGTCCGGCCACTCGCTCTCGGAAGAAAGGTCGGTCGCTTCCGGTCCTTTGCTCGATTGTAGACCCGCGTTGAGGCTGCAGGAAAGGCCTGGTGACTTCAACGAAACTCCGAGTCAGTGACCACCAAAAATGAACAGACTAGTGGGGAGGTCCACCTACCAGAGATTAAGGGGTCCCGGTTTTGACCCACGGCCATACTTGGACCCTTTGTTTGAATGATGGGGCTGAGGGGTGGCAAATGCGAAGAAACACAACCACACCACCAGGTAGATGGCCCTTCAGTTGCTTTTTCAGTGCCTTGACATTCCGGGTGCACCCCGCCCAAAACCAGCACATCTGTCAACATCGCAACAAAATGCGAAATTAAAGATATGCACAAAAGTCAGGCAGGTGAAGGACCTGAACTTCTCACAAACCAATAAGACCTTCCGTGCCGGGTTGATGGCTGCGGCCATTTCAACCACTTATGATTGCCACAATGCTTGTGATGATGCCTGTGATGCCACCTTTGCAATCCACATTATTAGCATCAAAGAAGCTCCATCCGGCCACACTAAATGACACTAAATGACAATAAGCATCAGGCACTTCACTCAAAGAAAGGCTCACCTCTGGGAAACAGCGACCGCACAGCGGCACAGCTCGACCGCCTTCCGAAGCATGGCATCGAAGCGCTCGGCGGCGCTGTCCGGCCGCCGCCGAGCCAACTCGCTGAGCTCCAGCAGCACCGGGTCGTCGGGCTGCAGAACTGAGCACCGAAGGTGGAAGCAGCGGCGGGAGCCGTCTGTTTTGGTGGACCGGCTTTGATGGTGGTTGTCTAAAAGAGCGGTGTTGGAGCTACCGGCGAAAGGTTGGTGGTGTTTGATATGTGTGTGTGTGTGTTGATGTTTTCTCTTTCTGTCGTGGTGGTAGAGTTGGTCCATCTCTGGTGAGTCTGGTGCTAAAAATGCATTGGATCAATGTATTGATGTATGAGTTCAATAGTGGGTGCATTTAGAAAGAAAGGTGGTATTAGCAACAGTCTTCCGATGAAAACGGGCTTTTGATACCAATGCAAAGGCCTCACCAATTCGTGCATGATACCTCTATGAGCACACTGACCTCATCCAACTGACTATACAAATAGATTCTCACTGCACTCTGACACTCAAGACTGCTTTGTCATAAGAAACTACGTTCCAAAAGGGTTATCGACAGGGTACGGAATCAACCTGCATGTTGAAATTACTATGTTGATTCTTCAGCCTAGACTGTTTTGCTTGACGGTCCCATAGATTTAAACAACATGAAATGCAACTCCTGCAAGAGTCTTGGGTATCTCCCTCCAAGTGTCCAACTGACCTTGTGCAGATTCTGTGTTCTTAATCTACATTTCGCATCCGACCTGCCTGAGTGGAACATCTGCAGACTTTCAATCACTCCCAACAAGTAGCTGACTCTGGAGCTATTGACCTCCCGCCCGTCCAAAGTAGGCAATACCTCACTTCAGATTCAATAGAGAAGCTCCTTTCCGCCACAGGCAGTGCAAAAGGAATACTTCTTGTTCTGAAGGCTCTGATTTTCAGTTTGTGGCACTTGGGAGGAGTGCGGCAGCAAAATTGAGGGATCACCAGGTGAAGTCCAGTTCTCATTGAGTTTGGCATGTAGAAATACTGACGATTCCGAATATGACACAATATTCTCATGCATCCCAGAGTCAACCTTGGTGTCACTTGCACTGGTGTCAAGGTGTGAACACCCATGTCCGGGCGCGTCCGCGGCGGGGCGGACGCTGTATTTCTTTGCACCACGTATCGCACGGGGACCGGGGCGTATTAGTCATTTGCACATGATTCTCATCAGTCACCCGAAGAATCATCGCCTCAACCGAAATTCGAGGCATTCTCACGCAGTGAAGAAGACCCAATTGCCATGATATCAAAAAGCCTGAAATGAACGCGTACATTAAACTCGCCCCAAAAAAGCTCAAGCAAGCTGTTTGCCAATGCAATGCCATACGAGTAGTTAGAGTGAAAAGAATTGCTGAAGGTCACAAAGTCTTCAAACTCCTTGGCAAGGTGACACTTTCCAAGCTCTGGTTGAGTTCTGGCCAAAGGTCAAAGTTTGCCGGCTGCTTGGCAAAGTCACACCTCCCAAGATCCGGTTGATTTCACTGCCGAATGTCAAGCTCTGCAAGCTGCTCGGCAAGGTGACACCTTCCAAGCTCTGGTCAAAGTGTTCCCTGAAGGTCAAAGTCTGCAGGCTGCTTCTCAAGGTGACGCTTGCCAAGCTCTGGTTGAAACTGGACCCGAAGATCAAAGTCTGCATGTTGCCTGGCAAAGAGAGACCTTCCAAGCTCCTGTTGAAGCCACAGGTCAAAGTCTGCAAGCTGCTTGGCAAGCTGACACTTTCGAAGCGGTTGAAGTGGGAGCCGAATTACTGGTTGGGAACCGGGAACCCTGCAACAAACGCTGCCAAGGGACAATATCCAATCGAGTTGATCAGCAAGATCTGCCTCATTGTGCAGCGTCATAACGCAGAAGAGGCCAAGGGCATCCAACTTGGGGGCATCTGTAGGAGATGTGAGAAAGTGAAGGCAATCCCCTATTTGATCTCAAAAATCTCTTGAAACCCTACGAGCCCAAGGTTGGCTGTCGTGCCCATGGGGACTATCAGGGAGACTCAGTGTTGACACCGATGTACCCTTAACCAGGGAAAACTGATCCCTGCGAAGTGGAACCCGGTCAGATGAAGCGCCCCGGCCAGACGACGTGCCCAAAACAAATCCACGAACATTTCTCCAGATTCAATCACAGCAAAGCAGCTCCACAATGCCATGATGCCTTTGCAGGACAATGTCGTGTGAAACGTGTGAAACGTGCTCTGCGCCCTCCCCCCCACAGCTTTCCCCCTCATCCACTGAAAGATCTCCAAAGGGGCTCATAGCTTTCCCCCACTCTTGTGATGGCCTCCACCAGCTCCCTCAAGGCTCGGTCACTGGCGACCTACGGGCGCAACGACCCAGCCAGACGAGTGTCGGACCGAACGATGTGGTCCGGACCGGGCCTGGGATTTTCGTCTTGGAAAGAAAAAACATATATACCGTGTATTGCATAGTCATAAATATTAGATAATATATATATATAATACAATATAATATAATATTAGAATATATTATTTGACCTTTCAATACCTTTGATCCTTATCTTTGTTTCTTTGTTTCTAATATAGTGATGGGCCTCCAACCTCTTTGCAAACTATATATATACATAACAGGAGTGAGTCCGTCACCGGATTCTTGAAGACCCACCAGGATGGACCTGACACGGATGGACTACTCCTCACGGATGGAAGCTCCTCATGCCGCGTGTCGCTCCTGTTGAAGGCAATGCGACTTTCATAGATGCTAAGTATTCTAAAAACCTCCCTGTTCCACATGTGGTCTCTCATTCAAAGGAATACATTAGGAATACATTAGAATACAATAGAATACTATGCTGGTGTCTTTCCGTCTGCCTCCCCGAAATGCGGCCGCCTTCGTTCCGGTGGGCACCGAGACGGTGAGGCCCTTGGCATCATAGGCCTCGCGAGCTCCGTGGGATCTGGCATCGCCTCCATGTCGGATGACAACTTAGAAAGTTTGTGTTTATATATGTTTTTGGTGGAAAAAACATATTTTGAGAAAGAAGCTAGAAAGTGTCAAGAATCATAATATATAAGAAAGAAGTTTGCCAGTCAAAAGAAAAAAAGAAAGAGGAAAAACTATGTCCACTGGGTGGCCTTCCACAGGCCTAAGCTTACGAACCGTCAACCCAGGTGGTGTTCACTCCACGAAAACACGGGGGTCGCACGGTGGGTGAGTGCAAACACCAGGTCGAGTGATCCCAAAGAAGCCATGGCATTCGACGCCTTCGGAACACCGTCGACTCGCGTATTGGTTCGTTCGGAATCGTCGACTCGCAGTCAAGACTGGGTTTTGTCCCATAGTGCCCCGAATCCCACCGACTGTGAGGAACTCTGGCGGGCGTCGTCTGCGCACGAAAACGAGGGCGAGACTCCTCCTCAGTTGCAATACGTCAGCCAGACCTCTGTCATCCAACAGAGAACCCTGCCAGGTCCAAGGCGACCGCTCCGTGGTCTCCTTTTCGTGGACCCTTCGCTCGCTCCGTGAGGCGAGACTCCTCCGCTCCCGGCGGCCGTGGCGTCGCCTGGGTCGAGGAGGATCCCACCGACAGCAAGAGCCGCTTGGGGTCCATCAATTCGCCTCGCAGTCTCGGATCGAACGGGATCGGTCGACGGATCGCCGGCGTCGAAGTCTCGGATCGTGTCTAGAAGTGTGAATGTGATTGATGTTTCGACCAGACACGTGTTTTACTATGTCTATGTGGACGAGTGAATGTGTCAGTTCTAATGGAGTCTCTTCAAAACCATCAAAAGAAGAATGTGTTCAATAGTCATTTTCACCAAGGTTCACAGCACGAACACCAGCATTTCAACAACAAACGGAGCGTTGTTCAATGCTTTGCTAAATGAGACCTGTGTCTGGATGTTTCTGGAAGAGGTCTTGATTCTCGATGACAGGCATCGCCAAGATAAGATTGATTGAGATTAGCGATGTCATGTAATTTCGCTAAGGCTTGATTTTGATGCTAAAATCCACGATTGGAGACGTCGTCTCCCAGTAAAGTGCAAAAATCTGGGAACTGGGTATCTGCCTACAACCATGAAAGCTGCATGTGTCCACAGCTGGTGTTATGACACGACATGGCATAAGTACCAGAGGATTTAACAGAATCATCATGTTCTCTGGTTCAACAAACATGGAAGAACTGAACACTCACAGGATCCACTCTTGGGGCCCTTTGGGAGCCATAAAATCATGGGCGGCCACGGGGCGTTTTCGACATCCGACAATCAGCCTAGCCCAGCTCGGAGAAGGATCTCATTGTTCTCCTGCCATCCGTACCCCCCGTCAGAGAAGCAACACCGGTCTAGGCTCAGAAGCTTTGAGCAACAACCAAGAGAATCGAGGCATCTGATGCGGACATCCAGAAGCTGGCAAATGAGGATCAAGGAAGGAATCAACATGTTAATGTTGATTCCTTGACGATCTTTTCTGAACCCTACCTCTGAGGGTTCGGGGATGTTCATCTTTGCTTGGTGAACGCTTAGACAGTCCATTCTGAAACCCACAAGACTCATGATCATCTCATTCTTTCTTAAACAACTCATGATCATCTTCTCCTTGGCTTCCAACTCAAAGAGGGCGATGCGCTCCTCAGCACACAACCTCCCCTGCACCTGTATCCTCTTTTGGTTGACAATATAAATCCAAGGGATCCACACAAACACAGTAGCTTTTTGAATTGGCACAAAACCTAAGATGGCACTAACTGGTATAGGTATCCCATCTAGAACTGGTCTAGGGGGTTCTCCTATCTACTCCCAAGCAAGTTTGGCCCCGAAACCAAAGCATGAACTGCTCTAGAGGGTGTCTGAGGTCAAAGAATGCCGAGGGATAGAAAAGCCTGGGGCCAGGAAAATCCCCAGAAGCCGGGATGAACAGAACACCCACGAGTTCGCGATGTTGTCTTTTCAACGAACCATCTCCAGATCGAACGACTCAGGGCCCAACCATTCGCGCTTCGTCCTGGAGACCGAATGGGGCGCGGTCGACAACATGGTCGACATGGAAACTCTCAGGGGAAAAAATAATTGTTGAAAAAGTGCCTGTCACAAGATATCTTCTTTACATATGGGTGAGAATCTTTAGCTGCTATATACAGGTTGGAAATTGAGAATACTTGATGTTCATTCAGATAATGATTGTCTGCTTGGAAGAGCAGAAACACCAGTGATTCCTCTGGGTCATATTGTCCGCAGCCGAACAGGGGGGCGTCCACTATCTGCCGAACACGTTCCGCCACCTCGGCCGAAAGGAAGACGTGCTTGATCTGCAGGGAAGACGTCGTTGGGCACGCTTTTGTCTTGTCCAGAAGCACCTGAACAGGTCCCGCTGCGATGTCCGCGGAGATGCGACCCTGGCATGTCTCCGAAGGATGGAAGTGATGGATGTCTCGTTCTAGTCAAGTCCAACACACCCTGAAACATGCAGAGGCAAATCTAAGCGCAACGCCCAATCTAAGAATTCCTGTATGTCCTTAGCAGCAGGTCCGCATGGCGTTCGCTTTATAACAGACTCAAACAGTTCTCAGGAAGTTCTTCCCCCTATCCCAGAAGTTTAGGTCATTTCACGGTTCTTTGCTGTGGATTGAAGCCCGCACACTGCGCTTACGCCGTCAGGCTCGACCAGAAGAGTTGGCGTCTATCGTTGGTCCATTTGGGCGGTGGATCCCAAATGAGCACTTCTGGAGGAAGTGTAGAAAGCCAAGGGTAGCCAAGCGTAGAAAGCATCACCACCATCCCAGGGGCCGAAAAATCGGTCGCTGGCTGGTTGGGGCACGACCACGAGGTCGCTGGTGAGAAGACCGGAGACCGAGAGCACGAAGGGGGTCAGCCATGTGGATCTCTCAATGTAAACACGGTGTGTAGTTTAACCAGGTGGCCCAGTGGGTTTTGGTCCATATTCTTTCTTCCGGGGTCGCACTGGGAGGCGGGAGGTCTCCCTATTTCAATACACTAAATGACTAAATGCAATCGTTGTCACATTTTTCAGCTGCCATATTTGAGTGCTCGCGAAGCGAATCACGGCCCATGGGCAACACAGTCACCCAAGACTTCTGCTAGCAACCGTTTGCTCAATACAAAGAACAAACTGGTCAAAACTAGTTTGGGGCCCGGTTCTCCATGTAAATATCTGTACAAAATTCCACCACCAACCCAAAAGGTCGCGACAACCACCTGTCCACGATCCCAGTGAACCCAACTGTCCGACAACGCACGCGTTGGAAGACCAACCCACCTCCGAGGGATCACCTGTGGAACCACCGCAGTGCGGTCAAGCGTCAACGAAGCCATCAGAATTCGTGTCTAGTCCTGGCACCGGTCTGCAAGGCCCTCCGCGGTCGCTGCGAACGAATCATGAAACGAAGCTGGCATTCATGATGAGTCGATATGAATCGTCCTGCTAGAAGCTTGTCCACTGTCTCACGCAGATTGGACCTCCACCAAACAGTGTCATGTGTACGGGAAGAGAATTCTCTGTTCCAACAAAGAAGCTGGCAACCATGCATACCATGCTTGCATGATATGTTTTTAGCACTAACTGTGCAGCTGTCTGAGTGCACGGCCATTTGGTCTTTTTGAACGTGCCCACTCTGTCCAAAACAAAGAACAGTTCATCCTTGTCTATGTAGCCATCCTGAATGGAGGGAATTGCTCACATGGTTCACAGCTGAAAACCAGCAAATCTGAAAACAAGGAAACCCCAAAAGTCAATCCTATCCCATCCCGGTCCACCTGTCACTGAAATCCCACGGCGGGGGACGTGTGGTTTTTCCGAATTCCCAAAGGCCCGGCCACGGCGACGTGGGCCTTTGGAACGGACATCCAAACGCACACCGCACGTACGATAGAAGTACTGTACAGCCCACGCATCGTTTGGTCTCTTCCGGGCCAAACAAGATCCCAAAACAAAGAAGGGCTGTCCTCTCTGGGCCCCGACGGAAGCCGGCCCAGCGGGACTAGAACCTCCAAAAAAACGACCCAACCCCCCCCTTTCCGAGGTGCCCCATTGGCATCCACTCGACGCAGCACTTGGTGCAAGGTGTTCTTCACCTCAAACCGCGGGCGACCGCGCTGGCTCCGCGGACCGCGGTGGTTCCCGTGGGGCTGAAGAACCACCGGAAAGGATGCCAGTGGTTTCCGCATGAAAAAGAGCTGGATGGGATTGCTGTGCATGAGCAGGTCGGATTCATGCATCTCATGTCGTTCATGTGTTTGTAACAGGGCACGTGGTTTCAAGGACCACTGTTTCAGCTACTTTTTTTCTCAGACCGTCATCACAATCAACGAAGTCAAAGTAATGAAAATACATGTAGCTGTCTGATCTTTCGTTTGAGGCGAAATAAGCACTACCATGTCTGGGTTCAAATTCAGAACCCTCTCTGATTGCACAGGGTTCGACGGAATCGTTTTACCCCGGAATCGTCCCCGATCTTTATAGCACTGCATATGCTCTTTCGCAAACCGCTGGCCTCCAGCAAATTGCTGGTCATCACTCATCAGTTCTGTGCCACATGGAAACACGGCCGGGCGGGTTTCCCGCCCTAAAGCGAGGGGAAGGCAGCACTTGTGAGCTTGAGCCATGACCGCCAAAAAAACATGGTACGGTGAATGACATGAATCTAACCTCAAGAGCTGATGAGATTCGAAACGGTCTCGTCAGCGCAAGGGCGCAAAACCTGCAAAATCTGTTCTCTTCAAAAGACCTGACAGACTAGAACAGACAAAATGAGTGTGTACCTGGGTTCGTGTGGCCACGTGACTTGCCCCCTTGCGTACGTACATAAGAAAAGACTCAGTCCGTCAAAGCCTAAAGCCTAGCAGCTAAACTCAGAGAACGGGACAGTGCCACAGAGGTGAAAATCTCTCAGTGGTTTGACTCAGTGACAGGTGGCTAGAGGTTGGCACGTCCAAGAATAGTGACTTCAAAACTTAACTCTAGGCTCTAGAAATGATAGGGCACCGTTTCTCGCTCAAGCTCACTCAAAGAGTCATCCACTGAGAACATCTCCTCAATCAGCAGTCATCTACGTTTGCAACATTTGATGTTGGATGCTGAATATTGGATGCTGTCTCCTGCATCAAGCAGTGGTAGTTCTTCAATCAAGCGGTCTTTTGATCAAGCAGTCTTAGTGGGCGGGAGTACTTCCAACACTCCCCAATTCGATGTCCCGGGCTTTGATTCTCCTTCGAAGCGGAGTTGCTCCGATCGGTGGCGATCTCTCCGATCGCCCATCGTTCAACCGCCGTAGTGGGTCCCTTCTTGGTCAGGCTTCTGGCCACGAACCCTGAGATCTCACCAAGTCCATCCTGCGTTCCAATCTGTCAAAGGCACACTTCGATGCATTCGATGTGCCTTCAAACGCGTTGTTCTTTTTTCTCAAAGGAATACATTCGACGTTTCTCCACTCCCCAGACAAAGAAGGACGACTCGCTGCGAGCACCGCCGTGGACAGACATGGCACCATGGCAGGACTGGAAGAGAATCTGTCCACGGACTTCGCAGAAGCTGTGTGGAAGCCATGCGAGCTGCTGTGCGCTGTGCGAAAGACACCTGTGCTACCTGCGTCTTTGTGTCGGTCCATGCTACAACCTCGCAAGAAAGCAAGGCAATCTTGGACTAACTGATGGAGAATATCTAGAAATAGTGCGACGCGAATCAGAGCCCTCGAGAAGGGAGAAAGCTCGACTTGTACATCCAACAAGCTGAGACGTTGAGCCAGTGGAGGATCATTACCCCAGCTCCTCAGCTGTTGATGTTTAGTTTAGCTGCTGGAGGCCTGGCAGTCCCATTTTCAGCGTTGCTCACTCGTGCCGAAGCCACTTTGTGCTCGGACTCTAAGTGGTGCTCGGCACATCTGTGCGACCGCGGAAAGGTTCAGGCGATTTCAATGGCCTCTCAGCCTCTCCGTGACCGAGCTCTCAGCCTCTCCGTGGACGTAGCATACGTCAACAGTGCCAAATGCTCAGTTCTCGTGGCAAAATGCACATGTCGGCCGAGTCAAACCATCTCAAACATACCACACACCCTCACCAACTCTTCTTGCAAAGTGGCTATGACTCCTAAAAAAGGACCTACTTTTCTTCTCATATCAGTCGCAGTGAACTACCAGTCATGCCATGCCCCTGTCGTCTGCACCTCCTCGAAGGGCTTGCGCATGCAGGTTCACGTCCACCGTCGTGGAGCTGACGCCCGTTTGAGCATAGCAACTGGCAGCGATCACCTGCAGCGATCGATGGAACCCAGGTCTCAAGGCCCGAGGCCTGCCGACGCCAGGGCTGTCAGTTTGGAGCTGTGAAAGAGATTGAGCTGTGAAGACTGGTCGTATCGCGGAGATTCCACTCTCTGCCCAAACAAACAGCTGGTCGTATCTTCACATCTGCATCTTCACATGTTGTTTAAAGAATCGATCCTTGGCTCACTCTGGATCTAGGGAAGTAATTATTATTGGCTCACTCTGCACATTAAAAATTGTAGGCACAATGAGGGTGACAGGTCAAAGGCCATGTCGTACTTCATTCAGGCAGTTGTAAAGTTCGAACAAACTGTCTTTGTCCGGAACTCTGCACGCGGTCGCGCCGAGGCACATACAAGACACACAGGTGGCCATAGAAGACCTGCAACTCCACGAAACGATCGTGAGGGTAGCAGTTTGGTTCAATAGTCAGAGTAGTTCAGTTGTGTATGACTATGACATACTATGACACTTCAGGTTTCGCAGTCATGATCTCTTCCTGACTCCAGGTTTCGCGGTTTCGCAGTCATCTACAGCTCAATTGGCCTCTGTCCGAGGGCCTCGTGTTCCGAGCGCGCGACCCAAAGGAAGGCATCGTGCTTCAGCAAACGTTCGGTAAAGTTTCGCAGCAGCTCTTCCTGGACGTTCGGCAAAAGGGTCCTCCATCTGAGAGAGGTTAAACCAATGCCTCCTAACATAAGTCAATGTCCCCTGACTGCTGAATTCCACCGTTTATTTGTTAGGCAACCAAACAGAAATCAATGTCTTGACGGCCGGTCACGGTAACATGGCTACAGCTTGTTACAAACCCATCAACCAGGACCCTCCCAGTGACCTTTTGAGATCCAACATGAGGTCTTGAAAAGGTCAATCCTGCTTTTCCAAGATCACCGGGAAGGTCTTGCTTTAATAAGGTCAGCTACTTCAGTGTTCGGTTCTTTTTTCACACCTCCGGACCTCGGTACCTCCCTGCGGACCTCGGTACCTGCCAGTAACAAAGGGCATCGCTACTAGGAACAAGGACGCTACGAGGGGCTCCTGGCATCGCTACTAGGAACAATAAAGCTAGAAACAAGAACTAGAATTAGAATATAATGAAAACCAAGGCACCAGGATTTCCCGCAGCACACCCAGCACGCCAGTGGCACGCTTCACCGTGGGACGGCGAGGAGACTTGTAGACCAAGGGACGCGCGTGGAGCTTCTTCCTGCAGCTTCTCCGGGTGGAGAGCTTCCCCTCTTCAAAAATCCCAGATAAAAACCCATTGATGTGACCTGAAAGCTGAAATTGGCATTGAAAACACCTGAGAAGGGAGGAACGAAAGCCAGTACTCCAAGTGCACGCCAAGACACTGCAGCGTGCTGCACTGAGTCTCCAGGAAGTGGATGCGAGCCTTGAGTTCCCCGACGTCCTCCAAGTGGGCACCCACATTCACAGGCGTCCATTCCACCAGTCTTTAAACCCGAGAACATTCTTCAGAAGATCATGAACCAGGAAAAAGGGCGCGCGTCATTTCTCCAACGGGCATTCAGCGGCATTAGAACTTGCACAAACTCAACATGATCCACTGAAGCCTCTTCCGCCCATACATGGTGGCATCATGTGGCATCTGGGCCAGCATCTGTGTGCGCGTGCGTGCAGGTGACCTCTCAGCTTCGCTCAGCTGATCCCACAAGCATCAACCCATGAACTCCAACCCTTCGTTCGCTTCACAAGGAAAAACAGAGCTCCCCCACCGCAGTGAACGTCACTTGACAAAAAGGAACAATGAAAAGTCATTCAAACACAAAAAATGGAGAAACACCACACAGAAGGTGCCCTACAAGTAACTCTCTGGCAGGTACGAGCCCCTCTAGCTTCCTATTCTCCTCCCAGGACAAAGCATAGCGGCACAGCATAAAAACGGCAAGCGTGTGAAACACACCCAAACATTAAAAAGGCATGAACGAAACGAACTTGGTTGAACCACTGATGTCTACAGAACCATGATGTCCACAAATGTCTACAGAACCATGCACCACAAAGAGCGCGAACAAAATGTACATGGGCCCTCTGGCAAAATACAAAAATAACTCTAAACTGCTGCTGTGGTCTCTCATATCCTATGTCTGCTTAATGTTAAACCTTGGGTGTGTGGAGTGCATTCAACCCGCTTTCGCGGAAACCCACCGCTTCGATTGGGAGTGTCTCCCCAGTCTCCTCCACCGTGTCGAAGCTTCCGGCCAATCCGATGGACACTCCCTCCGTGTGAAGCTCGTCGTCCTTCAGTCCCGATGCGACCGGAGAATCGGATGCGACCTGGTGCCTGATGTCGGAAAGGATCGTGTGATGTTGTCCAGAAACTCCAGTCCACTTTCGAGAAGGCTGCCATTCGGGAAGAAGGAAGTATTCATCGATCCGTCGACATGATGTGTCCGAAGATCGGTGTAACAAGAAGTAGCTTCTTGTTTCTAGTAGCTTCTTGTTACTACTAGTAAGGCACCTGTTACTACTAGCGTGGCACTTGTTACTACCTGAATGAAAAGTGCGTGGATTCTCCGTTCTGGTGCCGCAAACCTTGTCTTCCTCTGTCGGATTCTCCGCTGGCTTCTGTGGGCTTGGAAGAGGTTCTCGATTGGCCTGGCACGGTCTGATAAAACAAAGGCATTTCTGACTGGTCTGACTTTGCCGCACTGGGTCTACTCGCCTCTACCAATTTCTCTTTCGCAGTGAAGATGCTTTGATCATAGGATGTAGCAGTACGAGTTCAAACTGTTGGATTACTGTAGGATAGGTCCGATCCCTCATCCAAATGACACGCATGATCCACCATCCATTTTCCGGTCTGTTCCCATTGACGAAGCAGGGCCTTTTCGGTCTCCAACTCATCAATGCCTCGGTCCATCGGAAACTTCTAGCAGTGCTGCCCTCCTGTCCCACCAGATACATCTATAGGACCAAATTCCGTGCTCTGTCAAGGCTTCCAACTAAAGGATCGAGATGACCGGATGACCTAACAAAACCTGAACGGCAGTTTTGAGAGAAAAAATACTCTCAAAACTGAACCTCTCGCGAGACCGACACTCGCGTCTCTAAAACAGACGGTCAAGACTGTCGATTTCTTCCGGGCTGCGGCGTTGCAGCTCGCCGACTTGGCGGTCATAGCGGGCTTCCAAGCTGGACACCTGCAGGGGAGGCCAGTCCTCTTGACCGACGGGAGAAGTCCTGCTACTGAAGGGCGCTCCTTTGAAGGGCAAAGTATCAAAACTCAAGAAAAACTCTCTTGAGTGCCGGATGTTCATCCTGAGTTCTAAAAATGCTGCTCAAAGCTAGCTTCTGCTGTCTTCAAGCCTTTCTTGCCTTTCACATTGTCATCCTGCCTCTGCTGTATGACAAGCCTCCAGTTTGCTAATCTCTTGTCTTGCAGCTTCTGCCTGCCAGCATCGACAAGTTGAATGCCTTCCGAAGAGCTTTCAGGCATGTGATTCGCACGAATCGGTATCTTCTGTTTCCTCGAACCCCCCAGAGTCAGATCCAAGTTATTTGGATTGGAAACGAAAAGGTTCTGCCCCCGAGAGTCTTGATGCCCTCTACCACAGTGCCAATCGGTGGTTGCATGAAATTTCATCGCCCTTATCAAGTAGCCATACTGCTCGTTGGGTTGCTTGATTTGTGCGGTTCGAGATTGGTTTGTGCAAAGTGAAAACACAAAAATGCCTAGCATCTTGCAGAGGGTGAAAGCATGCCGCGAAGGCCTGTCACTCACCGCTCCATGTCGTGAAGGCCTGATTTTCTGCGATCATCCCTCGTGCCACTGCATCCTGGATCAAGCCTTCCTCAACGATTCAAAGAAGAGTCGGAAAAAAATGCAGCCGGTCAATTCACGTTCTTTCAAGTTCAGTTTTATGCGTTTAAACAATGGAGTTCAGGAATCTTGCTACAGTTTTTTCTGCCTGGCTCATCATCACCAGTATCACAATAAGTTGTTGTAAGAGCCTCGTTCTAAAACTAGAATCATACAACTTCATCAAAGTAAAGGATTTCGCTGAAGGGCCATCTCACTCCTTTCTCGTGCCGATTGCGCAAGCTGCTTCTCCAGCTCCTCTATTTTGTCCTCATCTCGGCAGGGCATCTCCACATCATCAGCATCATACCAGCTCCAATGGCTTGACATGCTTCACGAGATCTCAATGCCTCAAAAAATTAACCTATCTAATGACTATACTATATACTGTATCTGTATGTGTTTCCCACCTGCCATGTTAGCATCTCAAGACTTTCTTCTCCTGACCGTCACGCAGCTCCACTTCGACGTTCCGCACACCTGGGATCGACGGGTAAGTCAGATCTCGGAGGGCGTGAAAGAGTGCTACTCACCACGAAAGAAACATAGCAACCCTTTGACACCAAGAAGCTGTTTTGCTGCTCTGTCTTTAGCTGGTGGACGGTGCTCCTGAGTCTTTCCACCTGGCGGGAAACTCAATCACCAAGCGATAAAAGGACCAAAGCCAATGAATGATTCAATTGTCATTGAGTTGCTGCCACGCTGCTAAATGTCCTCTAATTAAACCTTTCTCTGCTAGACACTTGTGACCCATGTGTGACATCCATGAATGAAATGCAGAAAGCTGAGAGGGAGGGAGGGAGCACAGCAAAACCAAGCCGATATGACGACCTATAATATGCCAACCTCCGCCTGATCATACAACATGCTCTTGTCTTTCGACCAGTGGCCACTTGAAGTTCTTCCCACACCTCATCTTCCAGGACTTGTTCTCTGACTTGCATCGCCTGCATCGCCCGCTCCTGATGAGGTATTAGCTGCGTACAGTGCACTGTGGTGTAGCAAAAGCAAGGCGATTGAACACATTGGGGTGTGTATTTCAATAAGGAGACCCCCCAACCAATAGGCTTTGGTCTATTTTCCGAACCTTCCAAGGGGGTCGGAACGCCTGGGAGACCGTCTCCCTATTTTGCACAGCCCATTGTCACGGGACTCCGAGCTCCTCATTCTGTGCGGACTCCTTTCGGAGCTCTTCGCACTGAACTGACATGCTGTCCAGCTGGGCCTGGCGACGCGTAGAGCTGTCTTCATGGGTCGAGCTGGGGAGACCTATGAGTTGAAGTCATAAAGATTGGACGCGTTGGTCAAAGTCATTTCCGGGAAAAGCTCTGGTTGATCAAGATTACGATAATCGATTTGGTTTCTTGAGGCAATGAAATTCGCAAGATTCGTTGTGTCAACCCTCGAAATCAAGAGTCATGTAGCTGCAATGTAGCTATCTCCCCGGCGATCTGGTGCGCAATGTCGTGCAGTCTAGGGAGTTATTTCTGTCTGCTAAAGCTCGATATCTGCGATCATCTGCCCATCCTGTAGCTGCCGGCATCGTTTGCGGGCCTCCTGGCCGAGAAAAAACGATTGTGCAGTGGAAGATGCGACGGTGCCGGTCAAGTACTGGAGACCTGGGAAGAACCCCTAAACTGGCCGTCGGCAGACGGCATTTTTGTCGTGCCGCGCCTCCCCTTCTTTGCACGCAGCATTCAACTGTTCGTTGAGTCGCTCGAGGCGTTGCTCCGGCGCTTGAGTCAAGCTGCCTCGTGCCTCACATGGTCTGTCGACAAATCCAACTATTCCAACTAGACTTGTTGGTCTGTCAACTAGACTTATCAATGGTTGAACATCAGTGACTTCAATCGATTTGCACTCAACTCTTTGCCCTCAGCTGGATCTGATGATGCGAGTCACCTTCTCAGCCCGAAGTTTTTGACATTCAGCCTTGCAATCCTCAAGCTCTCCTTGGCTGCACACTGGATACCAAGCTGTGGTGTGTCCATAGCGGAACCATTGGAAAAGCCAATGTCTTATCCTCTTCGACACATGTTCCGTCTCTCCAAAGCAGCAAGCATGTTCTTTCTGCCACACCATTGAGTACACAGATGTCCCTGTCTTCCAAGATGTTTGATCAAAACATGCTCCTAAGGTGTAGCAAACTACAACTGCTGGATCAAAGAGAAATGGAAAGGCCCCATGCACGCTTGCGGCAAACCAGTCAGGGATGAATCCACCTGGTCAGCCTGGTCAATTTCAGGGTGTATATATATATATATGTGTGTGTGTGTGGTTTAAATGTCTCAACCCTGTCTCTCACTCAAAAAGGCCGAGAGTCTTTCCAGCGAGCGCGCCTCTTCCCTTGCAGCAAAAAGCTCTGCACGAAGTCTTGCCTTCGAAAAAAGTCACACCGAGTGACCCCGAGTGTTTTGCCTCACCCGGACACATGACGGACACACGATTCACCGCGTGGCCCTTGCGGGGGCGACAAAGATGATCAGTCGAGTGACTGTTGATGGATGAGGCTCCTAGTGAGCAGAGCTAAAACAAGGACTGATCGAGGTTTCTCCCGCATCGCACAAGTCCTCTAGACTGAGACTTATATAGCGATCTGACATAATCTCACCTTACTCAATCCCTTGCTACGATGATACGGTATTTCCCTGTATAGCTTCCAGGCGTTTATTCAATAAAGCTAAGGTATTCTCTTCATGGCATGCTCAAACCTGTTCACAATATGATTTGGCTTGGTGTGATTCCTCTGCATCCAACAATAATCGCATTTCCAATGACCAAGCCGACCTTCTGTACTTCACCCAAACTACCGGAATGCCCGGCGCCAAACCGGGAGGAGACAAAGTCACCAAGAAAGCGGGGGGGGCGGACGGAGGGGAAGCTCCCTTTCATCCTCCGGGGGACCGAGGGTTCCAGGCGCGTTCCAGGCGAGGAACGCGTTTGAGGTCTAAAGTGGCATTTTTTAAAGAAGGAACACACACACACTGATTCTGTGTGCATCAAGTGGCTGATGATCAAAGCAAGATGCTTAAGACAAAATCTCAACTAGCTGAGCTCGTCTGCTGTTTACAAGTGTGTTATCTGCTGGGTCATTTTGCAGGTAGGAGCAAGGATTCATGGGAGTCATCATTTCATACACAGTGGGTGTGGGCAAATGCAAAGCGCGTATCTTGACGACCACATCGACAAAAGCTGGATGGCCTTGCAGGAACCAAACGTTAATTGATTCGCCATGCCACTTCTCCCATCAATGACTCTGGCAGGTCTTGTGATGGCAAGGACGTGGTGTCCTGCCATGCACGCATGCATGGCTTGCTGTCGGTTCCAATTGTCAAATACTGACTGTTGATCAACAGACAGTTAAAAAATGCTTTGTGCTGGAATACGTCCTTGTCCTCAATGATGTCAGATGGCAAAGCAAAATCGTCTTGCCAACCATCTTCATCAAAGGGTGCCAGTCCAGATTCCTTACTGGAAGCCGCTTGGCACGATTTTGGTTACTGCATGCAAGAAATCGCGTACGCACAACATCCATCTGTCCTAGCAGCTTCAACAGCGCAAGAACACCAAAAGCTGAGGAACTTCCAAGCGAAGTCGTGCCTCCCGGCATCCTTCACACTCTCATACCACGTCTTGATAATTGACAACCTGAGGTCGTTTTTTTTATCGCCCTCTTAGTCTCAGCTCGAGCTTCCGCAGTGTCAGACTCCTTTGGAAAGATCACTGCAGTTGACATTGATGAATCAGCTCTTGGTGCTTCAGAGAAAAACCTAAGCTCATGCCGAATCAAAGTAGAAAAATGGTTGCACCCGATATGTCCCGGGCTGTTTCAAGTTGAGGCTAGCCGCAAACAGGATTGTGCTATTTTGCACTCTGCACAACAAGTGATATATTCCCAACATCAGCTCTGAAACATCAAGTTGGCTGGGCGAACCATCTCATCAAGCCTAAGCTTTGCACTGCAAGCTGCTTGCACTTGCATTCCAACCGTTTTGGGGGTTTTGCACTGAAATCTCTGGCTTGTCCGGCAGCCTGAGGACACGGCCACTTCTTCACAGATTCCTCCTTCGGATTCTCCGGGATTACATAGCCTGACCGAGAGGCCGGGCACGGGGCGACCGGGGGCGACCGGTGACCTCCCGGCTGCGACGGCACCGACGGCACCGACCTCCCGACCGAAGAGACCCAAACAACCAAAAACGTCATCTCACGCATAACAACGTACACATGTATGTAAGCACATGAGCCAAAGCTTGCATTGCCCACCTGCAATGGATACAAGCTTGTCTCCTGACAAGTGATAAGTGCCAAGGCCTTATATACCTGTCAAAGGTTTGGCTCACTGTTCAAACCATGAACATGCAAGAACTTGCCATCTGTGGCCTTGGCAGCCCTTTACAGCACTTGTAAGGGAAGTCTCGACAACCTCAACACAGCTCCTGGTTGCACCCCCAGCTGATGAGCTTGGCCATCGGGGTCAACCGCTGCCACATAGACCCCTAACGAGCCATTCAGTTTGAGCTGGTTCTCCACATGGGACATTGCAACTGACTTCTGATTGCACAGTGGGCCCACGATCCGTAATCAATGGTGCTCAAAGTGCTCAAATAAACGGCTGAATGAATGACTGGCTGAACTAAATGAAGGAACCAAATAAAGCTGCAAAGCGATCGGTTTGCATCTCTGTTCCATCAAGGCTCCATTGAGCTCAAAGCCCAACGGCCCCTCTCCTCAGCCATCAAACAGGGAAAAAGGTGGACTAATGACTAATCCGACCAAGCTGTGCAAAATCAAACTCCTCTCTCGTGCTGAGTGGCGAAAGTTCAGATCTCTCGCGCCCGCATCATCTGCGAGCAGAATGGCCTGCTTCCGGATGTCCTCTCCTGGGTTGCATCGGATCACAGGCGCCAAGGCCATGAAGCAAGTGACTGAAAAAAAGAACCTGTCATCGATTGTGACATATATCATATATATATATTATATATCATATATAATGTATATCATGTATATCATGTATATCATACATAACTTTATGTATGATATTATATATATATACATATCATCTCAATCAATTCAGTGGATTCACATCCCTGCATGATGCGAGCAAATTGCCAAGCTTGGCAGCTTGTTCCCTTGCAGCTTTGATCCATGAGTCCATTGGCCAGGTGTGATGCAAAAAACGTTTTTTGGTTGGTTGACCGCCCACTGGAAGCAGTACGTGCTAACATTCTAAGCGTACACTTTCCCTACACCTGTCTCCTTCTTGTTGTGCATCAATGTACATCATATCGGTTGTTTTTGCTGAGACTAGAAGCCTGCAGAGATCTAGCAAGCTTGCATGAACAAGTGGTTGCAACATCGAGCGACCGATGAGCTTCGTGAAGTGTATGCTTATGCGGCCCTGTTTTTGAGCCACTCGAGGATACATGCATGCAGGGGACTTGAACTGAAATCAACAAGCAACACGCCAAATGCACCTAACCATTAATCAGTTTTTGTTGTTCATACAGAACCAAGCCCTGCAAGGAAGCAAGTGCTGGCCTGTAAGCTTTCAGGGCGGCCGAAGACCCAAATGTATGTATATATATATATGCACATGTGCTAGCCTCTTAAACCAGAATTCGGATGTGTGCAAATGGTTGGGCAAAAAACACAGAGATTTGTCCCAAGTGATTTACACATGGTTTCTGAATAATTACAGACGTGTTCCACATGGATTGTAATCAAATAAACAAAAACCGTGTGACGTAAATCTTTTGTGCAATTAACAACTGTCAATAGAGTTGACGAGCCAAGAAGGGAAAAGAAACTGCAAACAATGATGCATAATGGTGCTAGGACCTGTTGGGTTTATGTTTTTTGCTGGGCAAGGGCCGGGTAAAAAGCAACCAACCTTTTAGCATCTGGTTTAATTCCGTTTCCTTGATTGATCTACATAACCTTCAAAAACATGTTTGCAAACACGGAAGTAAAGTCATGAACAATGTTTTTGAGCACGAGCCCTGGAAGAGTTTGTTGGGAAAAGGGTGAACAGGCATGTCACGTCAGCAGAGAATTTACTGAACATGTAAAGAGGCAAAAAATTACCAAAGTCAGAGTACAGCTCCAGACATTGGTCATCTTGCTGGCTTGTCATCAGACACGCGTCCACTTGCGTTGTTCGGGAAACATGACTTATGCCGACCTCACACATTGCCTGATTTTAATTGTCTCTATTATAGGAAAGCAACTGATTGATCCACCAAGATAAATTGCATTTATGTCCAATCTACACATATAAAAAACAACATGGAGCCCACGAACCTGAATGCAAACACGTATGTCAATCCACTGTGTATAGAAAGAGACACAGCCGGTCAATTTTTTTCACGCTCCGGCACGGTGCTGGACATCATGCGCTGCGGACTTCACCACCAAGCTCCGTCGCAGTCATGAAGGGTCTTCGGTTTTGCATTCAAATCAAGCACTGGCGTAAAGGTTGTGGGAGATCCACATCACGAAAGAAACAATGGCATGTCCCAAAATCTCGAAAAAAAAGCACTTGAAAATAGTAACCGTCCACATAACACAGAGAAAACCGCAACTGCGGCGTCTGGTCTTCTTGTAAATAGGAGTGCAAGACCGTGCGTTGTTGCGTCTCACCTGTACCAACAAGAAGTATATGAGTCACACACAAAACGGAAGTAAATGAACAAGAAGGGGAGACGTGTCAAAAGACGTATATGAGTCAAGGCAATGGCACTGCCTCACCAGCAACACGCCGCGTTTACACCAGTACGTTTCGCGCTCCCCAGTGGTACGGCCCAAACACACTTTCCAGCAAGGCCGCGCAAATCCCAATGGTACTGCGACATCACGCACGTAATTTCGCCACACAGTCTGCCCACACACTAGAAGCAAACATCTCATCTGGTACCACCAATCATCCCGCTCACCAGCGACACGCAACCTTTACACCACCATGTTTCGCGCCCCCCAGTGGCACGGCGCCACGCAAAAGCACTTCCCACCCAGGCCGCGCAACTCCCACTGGCACTGCGACACGACGACCGTGGTTTCGCCACACAGTCTGCCCACACACTGAGAAGCAAACATATTACGTGATACCGCCAATCATCCCGCTCACCAGCGACACGCCCCCAGAATTAAACGAGAACCCTTCGCTACGCATTCGGGAATAAAAAGCTAATTAAATATATGTGGAAATGTTGCTTCATTTAAGAATAAGGACTCCAGCATTATCAGAAAGTTGTAATATTTGTCCAATAACGTCACCAATCAATGGTATAAGTTATACTATATTGTCAGTTTAATGACAAGTGGTGCTCCACTTATGTGTATAATTCTTCTTCGGATCAGAATCTTAGGCAACAAGCAGGACGTTGTGGAAGAGGAAACAAAAATTCTTCATCACTGTCCAAATGTATTTCATGTGATTTAGTTATGGATCAGTTGATTGAATGTTGATGCTGCAATGTGATGGAGACAAATGCAAAATAATATATTTTCCGTTTTCTGCTTTTGTTTGGTTTTTACAACTCGTTTGTAATTTCTCAAAGAATAATTTCAGCACGTCTTTTCGTGGGTTTTAGGGCAGATATTGTGGTTTTGTTCTGCTTTTTTGGTGGTCTTTGTTTCATGGCTGGAGACTCGTTCACATGTAGCACAAGCTGACCTGTGCATTCTCTGCACACATGGCGGCTCCACCCGTGCAAAAAAAGGGCAGACATTGTCACTGATTGGTTTGAATTTCAATGCTTGATTCTGAAGACAACCGTGACCCTCATGGCGCAAAACCGTCTTCGTGCAACGAAATTGTATCTTGACTGTCCTAATCGCACACTCCAGCCTGAAAATGTAACCTGAAATTGCCCCTAATGACACAATTGCAAAAAAAGAACATGCAAGGCAGGGTTGCATGTCGATGAAGACATTCAGGAACGTCCACACCCGAAGTCTTCGCACTTCTGTGTGTCTCCCAGCTCCAGACAGCAGTCTCTTCCCTTACAAAAGTTGACAACCATTAATTTCAGCAAACGTTACAAAAGGTCAAAAGTCTCTAACTCATCAAGAGAAATTTTCACAGTTCATCAACACGACTGGACACGCTGTGAGCCAATGGAGGTCAAGTTATGATGATGGACCTGAAATTGCAGTGGTCAGAGGCAGAGCTCAATGGAAGCGCGAAGGTGCTTCCACACAGAACTCTGATCTCTACGCGCTCCAAGTCGCACAGTTCTTCAGTGTCTTTTGTCTTTTGCAACTTTGTGTTGCAGTGTGAATGTTTCAACTTGCCCTTTCCAGCACGTTGCATGATTCTCTTTGCCTCTTCCACCCAACAAGTTTCCTTTCTCTTCCAGCCCGTGATCTAGCGCGACTTGTTTTGCACGGGTGGAGACGCAATGTAGAGAATGCACAGGTCATCTTGCGCTACTTGAGGTAAGTCATCGGCCAGGATAGGAGAACCAAGCCAAACCCAACAGCAAACACAACCACAACCAAACCAAGCAACAAAACCTGGCCAAGGCGCGACTCATCGGGTCACGCAGAGGTGAAACAAGAAACAGGTGAAACAAGGGGCGTCAAATTGAGCAAAACGGGCCTTTCATACACGTTGTGCCATGGTGTAGTCTTCGGAACAAGAGTCTTTGCTGACTGCTGCTCTTGCAGCACGTGACCACTTGGCGGGGGTCCTGTGCTGAGGAAACATGAACTGTGCCCAGATTCACCAAGCCGGTGTGGATCAACCTCATTCCGAACCCAGGGTATGATCCACCTCGTCCAGTTCATGGCCTGAAGCTTGACCTCAGGCGAGAACCTTAGTTCTTGTCCTGAGCCAAAGCGCAAACCTCATGTACAGTGGGCTGGATCGAAGGCGAGAACCTTGGTTCTGAGGGTGGGTCCCACCCTACCAGCCATGCATGGAGTACAGACGGCACCGCTGGCAGGTTCACCAGGGCACTAGATAACCACTAAAAGCCTTTCTATCATGTGTCTGCACTGCCTGAAGCAAGCATGCACATGCGTTCTGTTGAGGAATTGTCACGCAGCACCCAGTCGTGCAGAGTTGACTCGCAACCAACCTTTCTGCTCACTTTCGTTTGTCGCGTCGGGTGTGCTTCGCTGTTTTCCACGGCCTGAACAACTGATGTTTTTTTTGCACGGGTACGGGCGCTATGTGTGCCGAGAGGCATGGCACAAGTCACCTTGAATGAATTCGAAGAGCTAACTGAGACACAGCCTGAACAACTGATGCGACTGGTTCAGCTTCTTTGCTCAGCACGCCGGCCGAGAGCAAAGCTTCCATGACGTGTTAGCTCCTGCTCACCACCTTGGCAGGCACTGAGTTCTCTATCCCATTGAGCATTGCTCAGTATGACCACTTTGAGGACCTCGAGGACCATTGTCGACTGTCTAGTTCTGGCCTTGGAAGACATTCTCCCGCGCCTTCTGGCGTTCGACGAGTCTCACTTCATGATTGCACGGTCTTGAGAAGGCTTGCGAGAATGCCAGACCAAAGAACTGCGTGGAGAGAAACTGCGTCGAAGAAACTGCCTTTGCGCTCTGTCCTGCATGGCGATGGCCACAGTGGCTTCATCATCCCAGACCCAGGACACGCATCGGACTTGACCTAAGTCTGAAGGTGAACACGACCGAAACATAAAAACACCAAGAAGAGGGAAGCAACCTGTTGCGCAACTCGTGTGGCTATGGAGGCGGCATGAGAAGAGGCGAGACAGAGGCAATGAATTTCGCAAAACTCTAAACTGATTAATACTTGCATAGTTCATGGCAAAGCCAGGAATAGCAAGCGCAGTGGTCTTCCTTGAATTGCCACATCATGCCAAATTTGAGCCTCAGATCATCGAGCGAAGCAAGTCAACTCGCATCCTGTTTGTTCTTGTGGGACTCTTGGTTGGCCATCACTTACACGACACACTGATGCCTCTCAAGTGCATTGCAAGCACACAGCTTGTCATCGCCTCTAATCCGAGGAGGTAGGTCTCGTTTTTGTGTTACTTTGGGTTTCTGGTGTTGTTTTCTCTTTGTGATTGCGACCTGTATTGTAACTCCTTCATAACTTGACAAAGGTGACTTGTGCAGAACCTGCATACATAGCGCCTCGACTCGTGCAAAAAAGAAAGCGCTCAAATTGCTCCATCGCCAAGGTTTCAGCCAAGGACATTGAACATCCCGGTG